TAAATATTTTCATTGTGCAAGACTTGTATGTTTAAGAATTTTTCAATCTTGGTGTTATTTATTGTATAAAACATCATAATTCAAATAAAAGTACTATTTTGTAGTATAATTCCATTATAGGAGCCGTAGCAAGCAAATTGCAGCGAAAATATATGCGCAAAAATCTAGCGAAAGCGGCGATTTCACACCACGTAAATTTAAATAGTTCTATATTTGTTAGTCACCGCCCACACGATATATTGATTAGGGAAGCTGACTGCGATATCACAAGGCCTGGGCTTGAATTCCGGAGAAGGCATGGTTATAACTGCCGGTTCCTTCATATATTTTTCCGCACACTTCTATTGGTTTATTAGGTGCCTCCATAATAAAGTGACCACCACCTGGCCTTAGTTGTGGCCAAGCTGAAGGCCCGCCGTTGGGGGGGGGGGAAATATTTGTAAGTCGCCATTGAAATACTGGTTTATTTTTTTAATTCTTTTTTGATAATGATATGGATCTAACAATTTGGGAATTGCCCAATGACAAAATGTCTGCAATAGAATTTTTTCAAAGAAAAGACATCATTCATTATAGAATATTATGATCGAAAAACCACGAGATGAAATTATGCTTTAGCGGTAACTCAATAGCGAAATGGAGGTGCAGGAATGAACCTGTATTCTGAAGAAAGGATTAAGAAGTCAGATATTGGTTCGAAGGAACGAAAATCCCCTTCCTTATAACTGATAGGCAGGCTCACCTATTTTTGGTATCAAGAGATGACATCTATTGAATTTTGTGAACTCCAACTGAAGATGAACCACAATACAACTGTAGACTGGAAGATATGCGTGAGGTGTGTGCCATAGCTTTAATTTCTCAGCCTAAGTTGAAATTCGGCGGATGTGGAAAAAATTATGAAGCAGACAAAAGCCTTTTCAGTAGAAGCAAGAATAACGTTGGACGTGTTCTTCTGCCACAATGGGTTTTCGGTGGATTGTGCAGAGAATCAAAAGAATGTTTTAGTCGCTATTCCAGATCGATCGGTGAAAACCTTATGGAACATCATAAAGGTTTGGTTTGGTTTATGTGATTAGAGCAAAGCCTCGAGGGCTATCTCCCTAAGGGAAAAGATGCCTACGTGGAGGACTTTCTAAGGGAAACTGGCTTGTATACACGTTACACATAGGGAAAACCATGAAATCGTCCATACAGCCAGCCCGTTCGCGGGATTCAAACCTCAGACCGAACTACCAGTGTTCAGCGACTTTATCGCTCGGCCCCTGATGATGTTCGAACATCATAAAGGAAAATGTCACAGAAGGAAGCATTATTTATACTGACTGCTAGAAATCATATAAGTCGGATGAACTGCGATATGCCGGCGTTGAACATTTTACTGTCAAACATAACTAGAATTTTGTGCACCCCGAAACGGGGGTCATACGCAAACAATACAGCGACTGTGGGGCAGTGCTAAATGGCGTAATAAACGCCATTGAGGCACATTTCAATTCTTATTTGTCCGAATTTATGTATAGACATTTGCACACCAAAAAAAAAAAAAAAACTGAAATTTTTTTTTGCGACGTTTCAGGATCTTAAAAATTTCCCGTTTAATTTCCCTCATTTTAACCCTTTTTTTAATAAATGAAATTAACCTTCCATCAACTTAAATTAATAATTTTAGATAGTTAATTACAATAATGCTTTCTTACAGTTACAATTAGCCGTTTGTTTATATTAAATTATAATAATAAAGTGTATTATATGAAAGTAAACTTTCATCTAAATTAAAATAATACTCTTAGATAGTTTTTATTATTATTTTATTATTATTATGCTTTTCTTGAGTTAAGGTTACCATAATTATTTTGGCATCAACAATAGTTTTGGGCGATTTTTTTGCGGTCCCTCTATAACGGAATTGTACCGTATTTTTAAATGAAAATCTAGTTAGTTATTTAAGTCCTTTGTATCTATAAAAATACATACTGCAGTTATTTACTTAAGTCATAAGGCCCTTTTCAAAAGTTTATGTCTAATTTAAAATAATTAGTTAATGTCAACTTAATCATATATATAATTATTGTAAAATCGTGGTGTTTAAAATGCTTTTCGCTACTGAAAAAGAGTGCTTTTGTTATAACTTTATAGAATTAAAAATCCCTCAAAGTAGTATATTTATAGTTTAAAATGTTTGTTAATAAAAATTTATTTATTTACATGATGTTTCTAAGAGTGAAGTAAAAAAAAATGATTGCTTGCTTATTTATATTCATGAAGATATATTTCTAATACAAGTAATAATAACTTTTGAAAAATGTTTCATGATTCGGGTAAAATCTGGATATAAGGGCCTTCCTTTATAGCAGTCGAAACAATGTCGTTTCTTTTCAAATTGTATATGCCATGTTCAAATGCATGATTTATGTGAATTCAATCACAAATTTGATTCTGCTTTGATCTGAGTGTTTCATGATTTTTTGCTGTATTGAAGAAAATTTTTTGGAAATTAGTTAATGGCATTAAGGTTCTTTAAATTAGTGTGTTCAAGATTCGGCGTATATGAATCTATTCATGCACATTATGTTTCTGAGAATAAAATCAGAAAACTGTTATCCTCCTTATTTATAAATATGTTGGTAATTTCAAATGTAGGTAATAATGGAACTCTGATGTAAATAGAATTATTATAAAAAATGTTGTATGATTCTGACAAAATTTGAATGTAAAGGGTTTTTATATCATTTGACACAAGGCTGCGGTTATTCACTTAAATCAATTAGGCCCTTTTCAGATTGTATCTGCCATGTCCAAATGCATAATTGATGTGAATTTAATCACAAGTTTGATTCTAATATATGGAGTTTTTCTAATTTTGAAGAAAGTGTTTTGGATATTGACTAATAGCATTAATACTCTTTCAAATAATGTAGCTATTATTTAATGTAGAGTTTATGTGAATCTATTCATGCATGTTGTTCCTGAAAATGACATCAGAACATTAAATACCTGTTTATTTATATTCATGAAAAAAATATTTCAAAACCTAGGTAATTATTTATTACTATTGTATGTAGAGCTAAATATAAAGTGTTTCGCATTTGTGTTAGAAGTTGGATGTTTGAAGTTTTTGCTTTGAAAATTATTTCAAACCTTAAAAACTATGTCTTTAGTATTACAAAGTTTGCTTTATCTAAGTGTAATCGTATAACAAGTTAGGATATATAATTTAGATCTTTTATGCTTGTTCTCAGCATTAAAAATCAAGTTATGGTTATATGCCAAAAAAAAAAAAAAAAAAAAAAAAAAAAAAAAAGAATCTTTTCAAATTATGTGTCTAACATTCAGATGTTTGATTTAAGTCAGTTTATTTGAAAATGAAACTGAAGAAATTTATTACTTGCTACTATTATTAGTATGCGGTGTAGCTGAAAATCGAGTAAAAACATTTTATGATAAAATTTTTGTATCTGAAACTGCAAGATAATTTTCTTTTTTCCCTTTTTGTAATTTATTATGTAATTTTCTTTATACCATTCTATTAAAACTTGTTATTGAGTTCTTACATTTCCTTATTTTTCAAGTGTTAGAATACTATATGAAATTTTCCTGCAGTATAATTGATTTTTTAGTAAAATAAAAATTTATTTTTTATTTGTGCAATTTTCTTACTTTATTAAATCACAAAACTTGTTTAAGAACTACAAAACTCGTTTAAGAACTACAAAACTCGTTTAAGAACATCTTATTACAAATAATGTTTAAACATTTAATACTTCTAAAATCTAAATTTATAGGTGATGAAAGCATAAATGAAGAAGTACGTCATACTCAATTAATCACACTACATAAGAGAAACATTTACGAAAGTCAGTAAACATGTATTGCCACTATTTCATTATTATTTTTTTTAATTTGCATTTTTAAAATTCTCTAAAATGGGGCATAAATAATATAACGATAGAAATAAAATGACTGCATAATAGGTATATAAAGCGGTTGAAATCTGATGTAAGAAAGTTAATTTTATTATATTATGCAACGATGAATTTCAGTCATGAAGTTGGAAGGTTTGTTTAGAAGGAGATTCTGATATAACCCTAGAGCTTCTGTGGAAGTTTCTATTGTTGGTCGTGAGGCATCCCTCCTTAAGGCAGATATCTGTAAAATACTTTTCCATAATCCAAATAATCCTAATCCCTTAGTTCTCAGTGAAGGTATTCCTTCTGTTAGGTAGCTAGCACACATTTTATCATTCTCAATTAAACTAGCAAACCTCTTTAAATGTAATAGCTTTCATTCCCATAGAACATTTTAAAATTTAGGAAAATATTTTTTGTAATCTACATGAGCATTAAAGTTATATATGAATGGAAAATACTCAAATAATTATACCAAAACTAAATAAATATGATTATGGTTATTAGAGAAAAAATTCTGAAATTTGTAGGTTTTTTTTTTTTTTTTTTTTTAGTTTGTTAAAGATGTCTTCAAATCAATCCATAATAAAATTATTACTTTCAGGTTAGGTTAACTTCATATGGACTATCTGCCTAAGGGAAGGGATGCTTCCATGGAGGACCTTTCTTAGGGAAACTAGCACCCAAAATATTTATTTTTATGACAGGAATTTCTCTTATTTTGTTCTCAGAAGCACTATCATAATATTCGAAAAATGTCTCTCTTCTGCCTAGTGATGGCTCGGAAACTGAACGTGAATGTTTTCGCGGAAAGAATTTTAATATTTAACTGTTCAGTTTTCATTGTTCGCAATGAACGCTGTCTAAATAGCAGATCTTTCACTTTCAGCATTTAAAACAGTTATGATATGCGTGAAAAATATTATTTATATATAAAGTGAAAAAGGAACCACTCTCACATTCGAATATTCCGATAATTGATAGAACAACGCCAAGTGGCGCATAATAGCCCAATGATCATTTGAAAATAAATACGTTTCACCATGTCCGTGAGCATGCGCATAACATGCCTTCCGTAAGGAGCCGCTCACAGCCATCCCTGTTTTGAGACGCTAGTTGATATGAAGGTTGTTAGCTTCTCTATCTAGGAAAGAAATTTAATGTCTACGGGGTAGGTAAAATGTCATATGGAAAAAAAATTCTTTTAAAAGAACTCATGCCTACCCACCAAACAGAAAAACTTTATGCATGTAAGGTATGTAACCAGTCCTTTAGACTAAAGGGTGTCTTAAACAAGCATATGTTTATTCACACAGATATCAAACGTCATATATGTGATATATGCAACAAATCATTCAGACAAAAGAGTCATTTAAAGGAACATATGCTTATTTATACAGGAGAGAAAACTTATGTGTGTGAGGTATGTACTAAGTCATTTAAACAGAAGAGTGAATTAATCATGCACATGCTTGTTCACACAGGAGAGAAACCTTATGCGTGTGAGGTATGTAATAACTCATTTAAACAAAAAAGTGAATTAAACATGCATATGCTTATCCACACAGGAGAGAAACCTCATGTATGTGTCATCTGCAGCAAGTCATTTAGACTAAAGAGCCATTTAAATAAGCATATCACTATTCACACAGGAGAGAAACCTCATGTGTGTGAGGTATGTAACAACTCATTTAGATTGAAGTCTGTATTAAATAGGCACATGCTTATTCATGTGAAAGAGAAAGCTCATGTGTGTGAGGTATGCAACAAAGCATTTCGAATGAAAGATCACTTAAACAAGCATATGCTTATTCACACTGAAGAAAAACCTCATGTATGTGAGGTATGCAACAAATCATTTAATCAAATAAGTAATTTAAGGAAACATATGCTTATTCACACACAAGAGAAACCTCATGTGTGTGAGGAATGTAACAAAGCATTTAGACAGAAAGGTCAGTTAAATACACATATGCTTCTTCACACTACAGAGAAACCTCATGTATGTGAGGTATGCAACAAGTCATTTAAACGAAAGGGTGAATTAAACATGCATATGCTTATTCACACTGAAGAAAAACCTCATTTATGTGAGGTATGCAACAAGTCATTTAGCCAAAAAAGTAATTTAAGTAAGCATATGCTTATTCACCAAGGAGAGAAACCTTATGTGTGTGAGATATGTAACAAAGCATTTAGACAGAAAGGTCAGTTAAATACACATACACTTCTTCATACTGAGAAGCGACCTCTTGTATGTGAGGTATGTAAACAGTCATTTAGAAAAAAGTCTGTTTTCAGCATGCATATGCTTATTCACAGACAAGACCATTCCTAGGCTATTGGCTGCCCGCATACTTTCCTCAGATTGCCACTTTCAAATTTAAAAAAAAAAAAAATGAATGATTAATAAAATTTTTATTTCATACTCAGTAAGTACTTGCTATGAAAAATTCTTTAAAAAGTACTTATATATGACAAATACTTACAATGAATTTTAAATATTTAAGCGTGGTATCGCAAGAGTTTGGTCATCCCTGATTTTGGCTACCTGCGTTGTTTTATGCACTGCAGCTCCCCTTAGGAATGGCCATGCACACAGATGATAAACATAATGTATGCGAGGTATGTAACAAAGCATTTACAGGTACGAGTACTTTAAGCAAGCATATGCTTATTCACACAGGAACGAAACTGTGAGTTACATGTGCAACAAGTCAGACAAAAGAATTGGAACTGTTAGATAGCCACAGTCCACGAGATGTGTGTTCCTGGGCCAAAGTCCTATCCCAGTGTAACATTTAAGAATTGGAAGAAGCATATTAGCAGAGAATAGGAGCCTGATATCTTTTTGGAAGATTTAGATAAATAAGAACCTTTACTTATTTGTAAGGTTTGGTCCATGTAGCAAAGAAATCTCATTATATGAACTTTATGTACCTTTTCAGGTTATTTAAATCTGAATAAATCATTCATTTCTTTCCAGAAGAGAGAAACATCATTTTTTATATCAAAAGTCATTCTGAAGGACTGTGGATGTAAAGGAACATCTGCTTATCCTTGGTATTTAATTCGAAAGGTTCCCAGTAGCATAGATATGGCTTGATGGAAAAGTTTTCAGACTAATTCTCTTATCCAGAATTACATGACTTTATGGGTCTCACCTTTCTTCCCCCAGCTCCAAATTTAGCAGAGAATAATTCTTACCTAATTGTGTTTTTCACAGTATTTTGTTTTTAAAATAGAAAGATGTGAAATATATTATTTTATTACATCATTAGGATGGTATTTCTCCTTTCCTTATCAGAAACAAATGTTCTATGATCTTTTTAATGTTGAAATGCTTAGATTTTAGATATCACAAAGTCAAGTTTATGTGTACAGTACTGTAGGTTTAAAACATTAATACTGGATCAGGCATTACTACTCAACATTACTACTGTTGAGGTCATAACAATAGTATGTAATTTGTCTTTGAGCAAGACCAAAATTTCAAGGAAATAAGGTTTCCTTTTATCCATATAACTCCATGCAAATGTTCCAAGTATGTTTTTGCACATTAGTCATTATTTTTTATCTACGATTACATGTGCGGTACTGACATATGGCTTCTTCCAGATAAAATTTTTCTTCAAGTTCTGATATTTTGTTTGAAGCACAACTAAATATTTCATCACCATAAGTATGCTATAACATGTAAGTGCATTGTATTAAACTTTGCTCTGTTTAAGTTCAACTTAAAACTCAATTATATAGTTAATGATCACTCATAGACATATGTTTCTTAGCATCCCAGAATAATGTTCATTGTGTCCAAATGTTTAAGGACATTTCTATATACTAACTCCAAACTGGAAGTTGACTATATATAAACTTTCACAAATTCGAGTACAAGGTTACCACATCAAATATTGGGAATGGAGCCCATGTGAGAAGTTTTAAATCAATTTTTGCATGTAGAGTAATGTTTCCCAAACTTTTCTCATTACAGAATATGTTTTAGTTTCTAAAGTTTGTAATGCTCAAATAAACTTGAGCTTTTATTTATATTAAAAAGTAATTAAAATTAAAATTAATGTAATGTAACAGCTAACAATTCTAGATTCTGAAAACTCATTAAAGGCATGTTTATATGAATTTGGATAATTTCTTGGTTTTAGCTGTTGGCTCCATGGCAAATTTATTTAGCCTTTTGGGCCCCTTTTCAATGGGAGAGTACATATGGTTGTGTTATTAATAAATAGCCATCTATAAACTCTAAATAATTCAGCACTACATGTTTTTGACTAAATTTAAAGAATTATGGATGATGTTTGCCTTTAGTTGCTCTGTGAAAACATGAAGATTTCACAAAGGCAAATTTTACTCTTTATTGGAGTACATTTAAATTACAAAGTAATTAAATGCTTGAAGAAATATAGTATTAAACTAATTTTTCAAATTCTAAAAATTATATGAATATTTTACAGAATTTTTTGTGTAATCTGAGCAACGAACGCTGAAAATTATTATGAATTACACTGAAACATTTATAAATTGATGTATAATTCTTGTTTTTATTTTTATCACATATATATAAACATTTATAAAAGTATTCATAACCCACAAAAACATCTGGTTAGTGATTACTTAATTATTTTTTTAGGTCATTCACATTAGATAATTAAATATTAGACCTTAAAAATGATCTCTGAAGCAATTGCTGAAGAGGTAGGATATTATAACTTTAAATGAAAGCTGTTTTGCATACAGGAATGTATTTCAAAATAGATGAAATGCATCTGCATAATTGTATTAAATGCAATGTACATAAGACACTAGATTGAAAAAGTATTAACACAAGTAATTAAATCCATAAAAAAATTATTTTATATTTTGGCATTCATGTCACATAACAATTTTGCAATAAGTGTGCTAAAAATATGGAAGGAATATTTCTGAGCATTTTATGCAGTGAGTATTACACTTAGCTGGCCTTTTTGAACCATTTACCTTTTAAAAATATTTGAAAGGTATATAAATATCCAAAGTAATCAGACTTTAGAAAAACGTCCTATACTGTATGAACAAAACATATCTCAAGATATATTTTAAATTATAAAATTGTTTGTTTAATTTGTGACACAGTCATTCTTCACAAAATTCTAATAATCATCAGAAGTTAATTCCAGTTCAGAAAACAAATGTAAAATTACAACATAAAAAAATAATAATCCAAATATTTTCAGATGGGATAGGAAATCAACTGAACTCTGCGCACCTAAGATGCATAATTTTATCATTGTATACAAATTATAAAGCTGTTATGTGAAAGCAATTTTGCTTCCCAGAGATGCAATAGAAAAGAAATTTAATATACCAACATTTATAACTGTATCAGTTAATAATTAGACAAATTAAAAATACCATGCCAAACAAATAAAACACTGCTGTAAAAGGTGTTTGTATATTTTAATGTTCAAATCATTAATTGAAATTTAAATTTAAATTAATTCATGAAAAAGTAAAGGACTTCACATCAAAGCATAACAACTAGGAAAAGGGTAAATATTCCTTTTGAATAATATTTTCTCCATTTAATTATGTTCTATATTTAGATGTAATATTTTTCCCATCTATTAAAAGTTAAAATTAACTTTTGGATTAATTTATAAAAATTAAATTACAGAACAAAAAGAGGTAGGTAATAAAACTGTTGATCATGTTGAACGTTACTAGATTAAAAATTCAGTGTTCAGTAACTTGCATCTCAAACATCTTTTGTAAATTTAAACTTTTCTAAGTTATGGCTAAATTTCTAATTGGAGGGAACCTCAGATTAAAACTTTGAACTAGCTGTTGGCAACTTTTACCCTGATCTGAAAATGAGCAGCACCAAACGTTGGAGGTAATCAGAGCATTAATGTAATGACCCAAGTTACTGAAGAGATTTTTTGAGAAAATAAGACAATATTAAATGTTTGAATGGTCATATGATATTTTTTGCTACTCTCGTAGTGTTTTAAAATTATCACAGCAAAGAAAAGGTAATCAACTTAATAAATGTAGTTGTTTTTCTCCACTCCTTGTTATGGGAAAAAGTTAACTGGAGTATTTTTGAACCTCCGCCTTCGATTTGGAGTATTTTAGAACCTCCGCCTTCGATTTGGAGTATTTTAGAACCTCCACCCTGGATTTGGAGTATTTTCGAACCATCCAAGATGAAAAGAAGAAAAAAAAAAATCACTAAGAACTAGTCATCTGAAATTACAACTTACAAAGTGATTGCTTTTTCTGTTAAAATGTTTTATTTTAAATATTTTGTACACTTTTAATTTGAATGAAATGTTTTCTCAAGTTTTCGATAATTACATTAGGGAGAAATTTTAAGGTAATTCAATTTTATTTAGTTAAAGATTGCAAAAATTGAAATTAAAGCTTCTTTCTGAACTACTTTCTCAAAATGAGATGAATTTCAGCTTCTGAGTCATCTTTTAAATCACAGTTACTCTATCATTAATGCTCTGTCCAGTTCATTTCAAATAGAAGCACCTTTTATTTTAACACACTGCTGGCCATTAAAATTGCAGCATCAGGAAGGAATGATCTGACGAACGTCAAAATCACATGAAAGGAAGAAGTTGGTTGGGATATGCAATTTATTAGTATTTCAGTGCATTTAGACGATGCAGAAAAGAGAAACGACATCTGAAGCACTGCATAAAAGAAAAGTTGTGTAGTGGATTTCTCATTAGGAAAGTGCTTTGTAAGATTGCAATTTGCTCAGAATATCGTGTTATGCCTCGAATAAGAATAATAATAAGAGGAAATGCTTATCAGCAAGTTTTGAAATTCGATAGAAGCTAACGAAAGTGTAGATCATTGCCTAACGAAAGTGTAGATTATTGTTCCGTGATATGGCTAGTCGCACTGGCTAACATCCAAACATTGTCATGTAAATATGGAATCAATGGAATCCTGAGGGTGATCCTAAACAACATGCAGGATCTCGGTGCCCTCCCATGATTAATGCCAGAGAGGTCAGCCCTGAAAAACTGTACAACTACATCACTGACCATTTGTCAGCAAGTGAGCATGTTTGCAGCATGCCCAATATCAACTCGTAAGGTGTGTCGACATTTGCAGTAGCATGGACTGTCAGTAGGCTGATCATTACTTCGGCTTCCCTTGACAATGCAGCATAGAGAAAGATAGCGACTCTGGTGTACCAAATGACAAGGCTGGGTACAGGAGTGGCACAATGTCATTTTTTCAAACGAGTCCTCGTTTTACGTGCATTATTCTGATGGCCATATATGTGTCTGGAGTGTCCGAGGAGACTGCACATTGCCTGCTTGTATTTGATATCAGCATAGGGATCTTGCACCTGATGTGATGCTGTCCAGTGGTTGTGCCCTGTCTTTGAGGCTCCAAAACACCATGTTCCAGAAAGATAATGCAAGACCACATGTTGCATGTCGTGTTCTAACCTTCCTCGATACACAGAGTATTCGATTGCTGCCCTGGCCTACACATTCTCCAGATCTGTCACCCATTGAAAACATCTGGTCACGGGTTGCTGAGAGACTGGCCCGCCACCTCTTTCCAGGTAATAGGGTTGATAAAATGTTGTATAGACCTGAAGCAGCATGGAATGAGTTGCCCATTTCTATCATCCAAGTGCAGTTTGACTTCATGCCTAATAGGGTAGGGGCTGTTTGCTAATTTCGCACCCCTGTAAACCTCCAAAATGCTTACAAATTTCATAATTTTTTCTTCATGCCATGCTGTTTAAGTGCAATAAATATCTCTTTTGTATTTGCTTTCTTTCATGGTGTTGTACTTTTAATGGTGAACGGTGTAGTTAAATATAAATATTGCTTCTGATTTTTGATTTCCATTTGCTTTACTTTCTATGAGGATTTCTGAATGGGATTAAAAAAGGTGAGGGGTATTAATATTATTTAAAATTTGTAACTGAATTTTAAAAAGTAAAGAAATAATTCTTT